GAGGCCTACTCATGTTCTTGTAACTAGTTATTTTCTTTATTGCTATGTGAAAAGACCCCGGATTAGCTTCTCCTGACACCATGGCCAAGTTGCAAAAGCCAGATAAGCTCACTTATTCCATCATGTTTTACTGTTATGGCATTGTCTATTGAGGCATGGACCTAAGGTCATCATAGTTTCTTTGGGGCAAGAGGGCTTTGCACTAATTAATAATGCTAAGTCATATAACCATAGCGCTTTTGGCCCTATTGCCTAATATCCCAACAAAACCTATCCACAAATCCCCTCCAACTCTCATTCCACATGAAACGGATGGTGATATTGTTATACCTACAATCTGTCTCTTCAAAAAAGTTATCTAATGCCGTCTAGACCGCGAGATATTTGTTTTTTTTGGATTCACTTCTTTGCATCTCAGTCAATCACAGCTCTCTTTTTTTTAATTAATTTGCATCCTTCGTTTTAATTCATGCTTCATCTAGTAATTACCTTCCTCTTTTTGCTCTTTGATACAATAATCTCATCGTTATGTATTCCACATTTTACTTCAAAGGGACCAGCCTAATTCCATGCATTGCTCTCGAATAGCTCAATTTAATTACCAGTGGAAGCCAACAATTCCTCTATTCTCGATTTTACTACGGAATCTGTTTACCTGTATAGTCAAGCTCCTGGCTTAATAGCAAATTGATAGCAACCCAGCCTTAATCAGCCTCTTCCGTTTTCAAACGAGTTTAGTTATTAATCGAAGGTATGAAGAGCAAGATGTTATGGTCTTTTGTATGGTCGCAATCTCCTTTCGTTGTATAGATGTTATTTGACCTTGTTTTAACAACTTGGTCATATTGGCAGGAAGACCTAAAGGAACGCACCTAGTCCGGAGTCCATAGCATGCATGACTTTCTATGCTTTAATTAGGTCAAATGTTGAAACACAACGATTTTTGGTTAGCACACAAGAGTCTAGGGCATGGAGTCGGACCTAAACGCCTGGGAATGTACCACGTCCACAGTCCAACTCTGGAAATTAGTGTGCATACTGTGAACTCTGGGCTTGATGCGTTCCTTTAGGTTTTTCTACCAAAATTAACAATTTACGAAAGCAAGGTCAAACAGCTTCTTTAGTTATTAATGCTTAATCTCGTCGAAGCCATTTTGATCACTCTATCAACTTATTTCTTGATAGTATATACTAATGGTATATACTATTTCCTCAGACTCTCATTTTTACTCTTAGTTGCTAATATTAACTTTTGATAATGCATTTCTAGTTTCCTCCTTAGATTATGCTGGATCAGATATACTATCGGATTATTTTTCGCTCCTCTTGTGAATGCTGGCATTTTTGGTTTATCTGTTACACATTTCATTTAACACGTTTTTGAGATAGTGGATCAGCTCGCTAAAATACTTACCCTTGACTTCATTTTTCTTTGGGCCACAAGCACAGCTTAGCTTGAATCTATATTGTATTTAACAAATATTGATGCATTTAAAATTGTCTTCCTTATTTCGCGTATAACTTGTGCCTTTGTTTTACCAGATGATGTAAGCACATATACATTTTATGTCAATGGTCTTTAGTGGTATTGCGATAGATTCAGCGAAACCCATTTCTTCGGAATGTCCTCCTTTCTTTCATGCCGAAAGAGGTCAATTTAATATAGATGGTTGGAGCATTGATACTTGTTTATATTTGTGTACTCTTATCTTTGATAGATCCGTCTTGATACGGCCGGTTGTCGACTGGATATTGACATCAGCTTGCTAGACAGACTTCATCGTGTCGTTGATGCATTGGCCGTTTCCAAGCAAGCAGCCTTTAGCCTTGGTGGAATGGCATTTGACACCTCTCAGATTGCTTCTTCTAGCACTACTATCTTCTCTCAGGGTCATTCGCCCTTACCGGATAACCGACAGGCCTATAACTCCGCTACTACTGGGCAGTATCCTTCAGCGGCTGCAAACCATGCATCCCAGTTTGGCCGCTTCATAGAGTTTCCTGCTTCCTCATTTGCTGAGCCACACTCACCTCATGATAAGCGGCTTAAGGTAGACAAATTATCCTGTTATTATCCAATTATATTATGTAAAATTTATGACTGAACCACCTTTATATGCGAAGAAAAACTGGGTTTAGAGGACTCTATGGGTTTATACTTGTTGAGCCCACTTACAATTCTAGGTAAAGGATGTGGTAAAGAGGTTGGAAGGTCGATTCCACCAGAGGGCGACGGCGGATTCTTGATAAGGCTGTCTCTGAGGCAATTTCATTTGATTATATGAATAAAAACTGGGTTTCGAAGAATTCCTTAATGATATATTGTGGCATGACTCTTCATTTCGAAGAGAAAGTTGGTTGGAAGGAATTAGTGATGTAGCCTCACCGGAAAACGAAGGATGATCGTCACGTAAGGAAGACTGTTGAATTTTGCGAAAAAGTCCTCGGCTCATCGTCCTGCGACCCCGATGAAACTGTGCTAAGCTTTCGTCTGTACTGTAACAGACATCATCAGAGCAAGATTCCATACTTTATGAAATGGAGCAGAAATACACTAAACCAAGAGAAAAGGTGGCCGGCTGCAACTTTAGTCGCTTTCTATACACCCGCCATCGCGATCTTGATGAAGATTCCTCTGATTTGGTTGGCTAATTCAACTTTACTCTACATTCTTGCTAATGAGTGAAGTTATATGAGATTTATTCACCCTATTTCGTCTAAGATGATGAGTGAAGTTAACTTCCCGAATCGTAAATGCGTTAGGTGGCAGCTGTTTCATCAGGCAAACACTAGCGTACGATCGCCTAATGCTGAATCACGTTTGTGCTTGTGCTATTGTGTGTATGTAATGCTCATGGAGAGAGATGGGGTGCAGGAAAAGCCACTGAGCAAGATAAAGACGCTACATTAGCCTCGTGTCTAGCTAGGAATATCATACTACCCATGACATGAGCATTGCATATACACAATAGACAACAGTTCAAGCCCAAACATGATTCAGCATTAGGCGATCGTACGCTAGTTCTTGTGTGATGAAACCGTAACCACCAAACGCATTTCCG